ATCCTAAATACTTAAGGAATATATTAACAAGAACCTATAAAAAGGTTATATCTAAGCCTTAAAATCATCGGCTAGATACCTAATTATCTTTATACTAAAGAAAGATAGGAGCCTTTAACTCTATATAGATTATTAATATCTAAATTTAATTACTATTAAGGATCGATACCTATTACCTTTAATCTATAAGATATAAGACCGGATTAGAGGAGCGAAGTACTTCTTAAAATATAATATTACTAATACGTATTACTATATTAGAATTAAGCTAGGCTACGAATAGAAAATAGTATTTAGAACTAAGTTTAGATACTATAAATATAAGGTTATACCCTTTAGCCTTACTAATATACTAGCTATATTCTAACGCTTTATTTTTAAAGCGCTAGAGGAATATCTTAATATCTTCGTTATTATATATCTAGATAATATCTTAGTATTCTTAGTAACTCTCGAAGATTATATTAAATATAATAAGCTAGTACTATAGAAGTTAAGAGAAGTAAAGGTTACTCTTAAACTTAAGAAATACGAATTCTATATCTAAGAAACATTATTCTTAGGATATTATATTAGCCTAGATAGACTTAGGATAGAGGAAGATAAGGTTAAGAGTATTATAGAATAGCTAATACTTAAGACTATTAAAGAAGTATAGTAATTTCTTAGTCTTACTAACTACTACTAAAAAATCATTAATAGATACGCTAGAGTAGTATTAGGACTCTATTAACTTACTAAGAAAGACTAGAAATTTAAGTAGGATAAAGTAGCAGAAGAGTCGTTCTAATAACTTAAATAACTCTTTAGCTAAAGAACGATTATAGCTACGTTTAGCTATAATAAACTAATTATTATAGAAATAGATATATTAAACTACGCCTTAGGAACTAGACTAATATAGCTAGGACTAGATAGGAAACATTAACTAGTTATATTCTAGTTAAGAAAGATAATACCTATAGAACTTAACTATAATATATATAATAAGGAACTACTAGCTATAGTATTAGTATTCTAAGTCTAGAGAGTATATCTAGAAGGAGCGAAATATATAGTAATAGTTAAACCTAATCATAAGAACCTTACCTTTTTTACTACTATAAAGGTTCTTATATAACGATAAGTGCGATAGGTAGAAACCCTTATATAATACAATTTCAGAATCGAATATTATAAAGGAACGGAAAATAGCTAAGTAGATATATTAAGTTAGCGACTAGACTATAAGTTAGGTACTAAAGTAGCGGAACCTATTATACTAAGATAAAACTTAGATAGTACTATCTTATATAATAAATAGTTACTAGCCACAATAGTAGAGGTTAAAGATAGTAACCTACTATAATAAATTAAGAAAGAATTAGAAACAGATACGATTAATTAACTCTTTAGAGAAAATAATAAACTTATTAAAGATAAAAGTGGTCTATTCTACCTATATAGATTAATCTATATCCTAGTTAAACTCTAGAAGGAAGTAATTAAGAAATATTATAATAACCTTACTTACAGATATATAGGAATAGAAAAGATAGTAGAATATATTTCATAAAATTATTATTTTCTAAATATAAACTATAAGGTTAGATTCTATATCTAAGGCTATAATACGTATTAAAGGAATAAGCCTATACGATACGTACCCTATAGAGAATTATAGCTATCTAAGACACTAACTAGCCTATAGGAATAGATTACTATAGACTTTATTATAAAGCTACTAGTCTTAGAAGGACACGATATAATTATAGTTATAGTTAATAGGCTTACTAAATATACCTATATAATTCTAACTACAGAAACTATTAATGTAGATTAAATAGCGAATATAGTCCTACGATATATAGTTATAAACTATAGACTACTAGCTAAAATTATATCAGACAGAAATAAATTATTTATATTAAATATATAGTAATCCTTCGCGGATTAGATAGATATTAAGCTTAGACTCTCTATAATATACCACCTATAAACTAATAGTTAAACTAAAAGAGTGAATTAAACCCTAAAATAGTACCTATAATACTATATAAACTACTAATAAAATAACTAAGTAGGACTACTACTAATGGTATAACTAGTATATAATAATACTATTTACTCTATGACCTAAGAATCACCATTCTTTACTAATTATAGGTACAACCCTATAGTTTATAAATAACTAATTAGTAAGGTAGCTATAGTAGAATTAGCGAGACTAAAGGCTAATAAGCTAAAATAGTTATACCTATAACTATCTAAAGATATCGACTTCGTTAATCTATAGATAAAGAAGTATTATAACTAAAAATATAAAAAGGGACCTAACCTAAAGGAGGGAGAAAAGGTTTATCTTTTATACCGTAATATTAAAACTAAGCGACCTAGTAATAAATTAGACCACCTATAGTTAAGACTATTTAAAATTAAAGAAAAACTAGGATTAGTTAACTATTACTTAAAGCTACTAAAAAATATATAAAAACTCTATTTAGTATTTTATATTTTATTACTTAAACCTATACTAAATAACGCTAAACTCGCGATAAATATAGAATTAGAGGAAGAAACTAAAAATAAATATAAGGTTAAAGAAATCCTAAAAATAAAGTAAATAAGTAGAAAGCCTTACTACTTAGTAAGATAGAAAGGGTATAATACCTCTAAAAATACTTAGGAACCTATTAAGAACCTAAGAAGCTACCCCTAGCTAGTTTAACAGTTCTATTAGAAGAATCGCTAACTAGGAAAGATAGGTCTATCCCCTCTAAGATAGAAGGGAATAGGGGACTAAATATCTAGATTAGAGTAGGATCCTCTAATATAGTAGTAAGGGCTTAAGTATCGTACTTATTAGCGAGGCGATCTAGCTTAGTAAGATCCTTAACAGACAGAGGATCCTTAGTATCTAACTACTCTATTAACGCGGAATCGTAATCTAATATCCGATTATTCTAAGAACGTAAGAATTAGCGCTATTTACGCAAATGTATTATTTTTATTATTATATCTATTTACTATTTTTTAGCCTAGGTAAGCTCTTTATTAATTTTTTACTACTCGTATAATACCTTTTACTACTTAGTTTCGCTATAGAACCTTTTTATACATTTCTAACCCTAACGAGTATATTTAGTATAGTTACAGTACTTAGGATCCGCTATATAGGAGATACTATAGGAAAAGCAATATTTATAGGGGTATTTAGTAATTAAACTATTTATTAGAATTAATTAATATTAAGTAAGCCTATTTTATTTATAAGTTATATTATTAACCGGTATAGTATAAAAGGTATATAACTAAAGAATAAGAAAAAAGAGAAAAAGAAAAATAACTAATATTACTTACCTAAAGGGTAGTCGATAGCTTTAAAGGGCTTTAAAGATAAAACCCTAAGGGAAGGGGAGATAATATTATAGAACTACCTATTACTAATCGATAGTATCCTACTAGGTATATAGATAGGCTACCGAGAGCTAACTAATCTATCTATTAGCAGATCACGTATAGTATTTAATACTCTAGTATCCCTAGGTATTTAGGAAAGAGAAAACCTATTTATACTTAATAAGTAAAAGTATAATTAAGCCTAATTAGACTCTCTACTAGGAGGTTTCTAGTACATATATACTTTAGGGTATCGGATATTACTTACACTAGGAATCGCTATACACAGAACTAGGGATATATAACTGTGACTCCCGCGTTAACTTAGAGAAGTATACGCAGGAGTATACAGCGACTCTAGCGGTAACTCTAAGGAGTCACGCTAAGAGTAGGAATCGAAAGATATATAAGGACACTTATTTATATACCTAGTTTAGTTCTTCGTCTTCAATTATACATTATTACTTGTGTTTACCTTTTAGACTACTATAACTCTTTACTTAATTATAACTTAATAACACTTATGAGCAGACTAATACCCCGGTATAGATCTACTCAGCGCTCTCACTAGTATCGTTCCTTAATCTCTTAACAGGACTTAGGCTATAGTAAGGCCTTATAGGCAATAGCTCAGTTACAACAGATCGTTGACGTTAGATACACGAGGAGTATTAAGGCAAGTATACCCAGAACCCATCTAACCTAACTATGACTAGTTAGCAGTGCGTAACAGTATAAAGGACTTAGATAGTTACTTAGTAGCGAACTAAAGCAGAAACTTAATTAAAATGTATTAAGAATTAGTATATATATAGTACTTTAAGAATTATTTTCTAGTATCTAAATTATTAGATACTATAGGAATAGAAATAGCTAGTATTTTATTAAAGACTATATCTTAAGAAATAATTATTTTCTTTATAGAAATATTATAGATCTAATAATAGCCCCACTAGTTATATCTAAGAAAACGTCCTTCTATAGAATATAGGTATAGTTTTATCTTTCTTTTCTCTTTTAGAATTATATACTAGTACTAGTACCCTAATATATAAAGATATAATATATTAAGCTAATATTTATAAAGCTTCTTAAAGGGAGTACACTCGATTTTCGAGTAATAAATCCTATTCTAAGTATAATTAATACTTCATAACAATTTGCATTTGTGCCGTAGCAGCCGTTTCTGGCCTACATGGAGGCCTTTTTCGCTCCGTGGCACGGCCTGATCCAAGCACGCACTTCACTACTATGACCACGCGTAGTCGCTCTGTGGGTTGGCTTACGAGCGACGGGCAGCTTAAGAACAACGCGGGTGACACCTGGCTTAGATAGTTCTACTTTCATTCTCCACATCAACCTCCACATCATCAACCTGCAGCGTCCACCCGACACCATCGACCCGGCACCGTCCATCTCCCATTCTCGACATCGACACCGATTCCCCACCATCCATCTCCGCATCCAATCCTACGGACTTGTTTAGCCTTACAAGGCCCACCTGTTTCACCTCTACCAATCTACGTCGATTTCTGGCGATCAACAGGTACCTTACTCGGAGGGCCGCGCCCGCACGTCGACCGACCGAGCTGACCCAACTCTCTGGGACTTGCTTATGGACTATGGATTCCCTCTCTGAGATGTCGTCGGGCAGTCTGAGTCCTCCCGTATCGGAAGCGCAATTTGATGCCCACACCGCTGCCCGACAGAAGATGTTCGCTAGGCTGCATAACTATCAATCGCTGAATGACGATGACGATACGCTCCACTTCCTGAGGTCTGTCTTCCGATTCCTCCCCACCCAAGGCCAGGACTACTTGGCCACCGATGTAGATGACTGCGATGACGACGACCAGCTGCGACAACTCGCGAAGCACCTGGACACAACTTTGCTGAAGCCGATGTTGGCCACTGGTGGAACTACGCCCGCGATCACACCCTCCCCTCTTCCTGGTGTGGAAGACTCTATTGAGAACCTGCTGTCCCTGGAATTCGACTCGGCGACCCGGCGGCAGAGCGAGCTGCGGCGAATTTGCCTGCAACGTGACAACTACCAATGCGTAGTGACAAAAGCGTGGGAGCATGAGCATAGCCGACCGCCCGGCGCACGTACCGCTGACCTTGAAGCCGCTCATATCATTCCATTTGCCCTGGGGAGTTTTCCGGAGGATGAGCGACTGCGGCATAGACAAATCTGGCAGTGCCTATACCGCTATTTCCCAACTATCCGTGACCTCTTTCACCGTAGCGATGAAGACGTCAACCGCATCGACAATGTGATGATGATGGTGTCACCCCTGCATCGAGAGTTCGGTCGCTTCTCATTTGTCTTGGAGGAGACCAGTGTTTCTGGTCGCTACCGCGTGAAAATCTTTCCCCGATTTCGAAATATCTACCAACCTCTCATGCCCGACTTCACGACAGTAGCAAGTCACGACCCTCGGTACCCCGCCCCTAATAAGTCTCTGCTCGCCGTGCATGCAGCCGTCGGCAACATCCTGCATGCGACTGGGCGCGGCGAACTGATCGCGAAGACCATACAGCACCTCGGAGGCAATGGCGGCCACGCTCTTGCGAAGGACGGGAGCACCAATGTGGAAGAATTGCTCTCTGTAACCGGTCTTTCATTGCTGGCAACTAGTCCTAGCCACCGTCCGCCGGCCCGCAAGGGAAAGTATTCTCGTTATGTTAGGTCCGGGCTCCCCGGGGCGGAAAATCAACCGCCTAGCGTCACCGATGAGTGATCGAGTCATCGAGACAAACTAGCCAAACGACAAGAACACAACAAGAATAAGCACTACGCAGTATCCTGAGGAAACTAGCTTTTAATTCAACTTTCTATTAGCCAGGTCTTTCAATTGCCTTCCTGCCGTAAGAGGGTCTAAGAGGGAATAGATTTCGTCTTTCGTTGTTCTGGCTGCTAGAATCTCTAGTGGTTAAGCGATACTATATGAAATTTATAAAAGGTTAGAGGTAGAAGGTTAAGTTAAGTAGAAGCAAAGTCGAAGATTAAGAAGATCGAGAACTAGAGAAAAGGACGCTTTGTCGCGCAGCATTTTTCCATTGGGATGACGAAAGGCCAGGGTAAAGAGGACCGAATGAGGAGCCAGTAAGTAGTAATCGTCACTTGACATAAGGGCCAACTCGGAGAATGTCGCATCGCAACAGCGTTCAATGATATCGCAGAGTCTATAAAGTTATTGACCAAGTTACCCAGCGCGTGAACTAGCTGCGGGAAGCGTCCGCCAAGACAGATAGGCGGAATCCACGAATCCAGTAAGAATGGGAGAACAAAAGCGCCTTTATCCCGCACACCCTCTGAAGTAAGACGATCGTAATAGCGGGGCTGTACGGTCTACTTCGATATCGATATAGATAGTATAGGTATATATAGATAAGAATAAGGAGAGGGAGTAGGGGCCTTAATAAATTACGTAGTACTAGTACCGCGGTACTAGTAACGTACTATAACTAAGGGTTTACTCTAACGTATTTCACCACCGAGCCGGCCACACCACCGAGCCGGCCACCCCACCCAAAACGCGCCATTTAATTCATACCCTTCCTCTTCAACAACCCACCATGCCACCAATTCGCTCCCGAAGCTCTAAAAACTTAGTAGAGCAAGAGGGTAGGATTCTATTAGCTATTCAAGCTTTTAAAAATCAAGAAATCACTTCCATTCGCGATGTAGCGCACCGCTTTGATATCCTACGTTCAACCCTACAAGACCGACTACGCGGCCACCAAAACCGCGCGAATTCTCGCGCCAACTCCTATAAATTGACAGAACTCGAAGAAGAATCTCTTTAAAAATGGATACTCTCTATGGATACTCGCGGGTCAGCCCCCCGGCCTTCTATAGTTCGGGAAATGGCGAATCTTCTTCTCGAATAGCGCGGAGCTACCCTAGTTCTTTCGGTCGGCCAGAATTAGGTTACGAAGTTCGTTAAAAGGCGACCTCTCCTCTCCTCCCGATTCTCGAGACGATATAATTACGAACGTACGAAATGCGAAGACCTAAAGATAATCTAAGAGTAGTTTAATCTTATTTAAAAAATGATCCTTAAATTTAGAATCGACCCCGATAATATTTATAACTTTGATAAGACTGGGTTTACGATAGGATTAACAGCTACTACAAGGGTTATTATAAGGAGTAAATACTACGGTCGGCGTTCCCTTTTATAGCCTAGAAATCGCAAGTAGGTGATAGTAATTGAGTGTATAAATGCCTCGGGGTAGGCGCTTCCTCCGTATATGATTTTTAAAAGTAAAGTCTTTATCGAATCTTGGTTTAATAGCCTTCTAGGCGACTAGCAATTTAAAGTTAGTCCTAATAGTTAGACTTCCGATAAAATTAGACTCCGCTAGCTTAAGAAGCTCTTTATTCTATCGACTTCTTTATATACAAAAGGGGGTTATCGGCTCTTAGTACTCGATAGATACGGAAGCTATTTAACCCTAAAATTCGATAAGATTTATAAGTAAAATAAGGTAATACCGATCTATATACCTCTACACTCCTCTTATCTTTTACAACCTCTCGATATCGGCTGTTTTACGGTATTAAAACGTGCGTATAGTCGGTTAGTAGAATCGAAAATATAGGTTAGGATAAATTATATTAATAAACTTGATTTCCTCGAAGCATACTGTTACGCACTGCTAACTGGTCACAGTTAGGTTAGATGGGTTCTGGGTATACTTGCCTTAATACTCCTCGTGTATCTAACGTCAACGACCTGTCGCAACTGAGCTATTGCCTGCAAGGCCTTACTGTAGCCTAAGTCCTGTTGAGAGATCGAGGAACGATACTAGTGAGAGCGCCGAGTAGATCTATATTAGGGTATTGGTCTGCTCGTGAGTGTTATCAAGTTATAATTAAGTAAAGAGTCATAGTAGTCTAAAAGGTAAATATAAGTAACAATGTATGATTGAAGACGAAGAACTGAACTAAGTATATGAATGAGTGTCCTTATATATCTTTCGATTCCTACTCCTAGCGTGACTCCTTAGAGTCACCGCTAGAGTCGCTGTATACTCCTACGTATACTTCTCTAAGTCGACGTAGGAGTCACGGTCACGTGTCCCTAGTTCTGTGTATAGCGATTCCTAGTATAGGTAATATCCGATACCTTAAAGTATATACGTACCGGAAACCTCTTAGTAGGGAGTCTGATTAGGCTTAATTATACTTTTACTTACTAAGTGTGAATGGGTTTTCTCTTTCTTGAATACCTAGGGATACTAGAGTATTAGATACTGTATATGATCTGCTAATAGATAGATTAGTTAGCTCTCGGTAGCCTATCTATATACCTAGTAGGGTACTATCGATTAATAACGGGTAGTTCTATAATATTATCTCCCCTTCCCCTAGGGTTTTATCTTTAAAGCCCTTTAAAGCTGTCGACTATCTCTTAGGTAAGTAATATCGGTTGTTTTTCTTTTTCCCTTTTTTCTCGTTCTTTAGTTATATACCCTTTATACTATACCGGTTAATAACGTGACTTATAAATAAAATAGACTTGCTTAATATCGATTAATTCTAATAAACGGTTTAGTTACTAAATACCCTTGTAAATATTACTTTTCCTATAGTATCTCCTATATAGCGGATCCTAAGTACTGTAACTATACTAAATATATTCGTTAGGGTTAGAAATATATTAAAAGGTTCTATAGCGAAACTAAGTAGTAAAAGGTATTGCGCGAGTAGTAGAAGATTAATAAAGAGCTTGCCTAGGTTAAAAAATAGTAAATAGATATAATAATAAAAATAATATATTTATATAAATAGCGCTAATTCTTGTATTCTTAGAATAATTAGATATTAGATTACGATTCCGCGTTAATAGAGTAGTTAGATACTAAGGATCCTCTGTCTGTTGAGGATCTTGTTAAGCTAGATTACCTTACCGATAAGTACGATACTTAAGCCCTTACCGCTATGTTAGAGGATCTTACTCTAACCTAGATATTCGGTCCCCTATCCCCTTCTGTCTTAGAGGGGATAGACCTATCTTTCCTAGTTAGCGATTCTTTTAGTAGAACTATTAAACTAGCTAGGGGTAGCCCCTTAGGTTCTCGATAGGTTCCTAAGTATTTTTAGAGGTATTATACCCCTTCTATCTTACTAAGTAGTAAGGCTTTCTACTTATTTACTTTATTTCTAGGATTTCTTTAACCTTATATTTATTTTCGGTTTCTTTCTCTAATTCTATATTTATTGTAAGTTTAGCGTTATTTAGTATAGGTTTAAGTAACGAGATATAAAATACTAGATAGAGTTTTTATATACTTTTTAGTAGCTTTAAGTAATAGTTAACTAATCCTAGTTTTTCTTTAATTTCAAATAGTCCTAACTATAGGTAGTCTAGTTTATTATTAGGTCGCTTAGTTTTAATATTGTAGTATAAAAGATAAACCTTTTCTCCCCCCTTTAGGTTAGGTCCCTTTTCGTATTTTTAGTTATAATACTTCTTTATCTGTAGATTAATAAAGTTAATATCTCTAGATAGTTATAGGTGTAACTATTTTAGCCTATTAGCCTTTAGTCTCGCTAATTCTACTATAGCTACCTTGCCGATTAGTTATCTATAAACTATAGGGTTATACCTATAATTAGTAAAGAATAGTGATTCTTAGGTTATAGAGTAAATAGTATTATTATACGCTAGTTATACTATTAATAGTAGTCCTACCTAGTTATCTTATTAGTAGTTTATATAGTATTATAGGTACTACTTTAGGGTTTAGTTTACTCTTTTAATTTAACTATTAGTTTATAGGTAGTATACTATAGAGAGTCTAAGCTTAATACCTATCTAATCCGCGAAGGATTACTATATATTTAATATAAATAATTTGTCTCTGTCCGATATAATTTTAGCCGGTAGTCTATAGTTTATAATTATATATTATAGGACTATATTCGCTATTTAATCTATATTAATAGTTTCTATAGTCGGAATTATATAGGTATATTTAGTAAGCCTATCGACTATAACTATAATTATATTATATCCTTCTGAGACTAGTAGCTTTATAATAAAGTCTATAGTGATCTATTCCTATAGTTAGTTAGTATCTTAGATAGCTATAATTCTCTATAGGGTACGTATTGTATAGGCTTATTCCTTTAGTATGTGTCGCAGCCTTAGATATAGAATCTGACCTTATAGTTTATATTTAGAAAATAATAATTTTACGAAATGTATTCTACTATCTTTTCTATTCCTATATATCCGTAAGTGAGGTCGTTATAATGTTTCTTAATTACTTCTTCCCGGAGTTTAACTAGGATATAGATTAATCTATATAGGTAGAATAGACTACTTTTGTCTTTAACAAGTTTGTTATTTTCTCTAAGGAGTTGATTAATTATATCTGTTTCTAGTTCTTTCTTAATTTGTTATAGTAGGTTACTATCTTCGACCTCTACTATCGTAGCTAGTAACTGTTTATTATATGAGATAGTATTATTTAAGTTTTATCTTAGTATAGTAGGTTCCGCTACTTTAGTACCTAACTTATAGTCTAGTCGCCGACTTAATATGTCTGCTTAGCTGTTTTCTATTTCTTTGTAATATTCGATTCTAAAATTGTATTATATAAGGGTTTCTGCCTATTACGCTTGTTATTATATAAGAACCTTTATAGTAGTAAAAAAGGTAAGGTTCTTATAATCGGATTTAACTATTACTATATATTTTACTCTTTCTAGATATACTCTCTAGAC